TTCCTTCTCCCCCCACTATCATGATCCAAATTCTACCTTGCAAGTCTGGCTAGACCAGAGGATGTACACTGGTACAGATAGGAACTGGAAACGCAGGGAACCCAGGGCGGATGATCCCTTCAGGACCAGTGGTGTGAGTGGCGATACCAAGTGGGTGGAGGGAGGGTGGGTTGGAAAGAGGGAACCGATTACAGGGATCTGCATGTGACCTCCTCCCTGGGGGACAGACAATGGAAAGGTGGATGAGGGGAGACGTCGGACAGGGAAAGACGTGACAAGTTGATAATTTATAAATTATTTGGGGTTCGTGGGGGGGGGTAGCAGGTAGGGAGGGGAAAAGGTGAGGACCTGATGCCAGGGGCTTGGGTGGAGAGCAGGTGTTTTGAGAGTGATGAGGGCGATGAACCTACAAATGTGCCATGCACAATTGATATATGTATGCATTGTGATAAAAGTTGTATGAGTCCCTAATAAAATGATTTAAAAAAAAAAGAAGACTCAAAATAAACAATCATTAATGATGCGGATGAGGGGTGTTAAGAGTGGAGACCCAAAGCCCATCTATAGACAACTGGACAATCCCTCACAGAAGGGTCACAAGGAAGGAACGAGTCAGCCTGGGTGCAGTATATCACTGATGAAACACACAACATTCCTCTAGTTTTTTAATGCTTTGTCACCCCCACTATCATGACCCCAATTTTACCTTACAAATCTGGGTAGACCAGAGCATGTACACTGGTACAGATAAGAGCTCTTAACACATGGACTCCAGGACAGATAAACCCCTCAGGAACAGTAATGGGAGTAGCGATAACATGAGGGTAGGGGAAGGTGGTGGGGAGAAAGGGGAGAAATGGGGAACCAACTACAATGATTGATGTATAAACCCCACCCCCCCAACACCCCAGAGACGAATAACAGAAACATGGGTAAAGGGAGACAGCAGATGGTGTAATATATGAAAATAATAATAATAATTTGTAATTTATCAGGGGTCCATGAGGGTAGAAGGCTGGGGGAAGAAGGGAAAAAATAAGAGCCAATACCAAGGACTCAAACAGAAAGAAAATGTTTTTAAAATGATGATGGCAACACATGTACAAATGTGTTTGATACAACAGATGTATGTATTGTTATAAGAGCTGTAAGAGCCCCCAATAAAATGATTAATTAAAAAAATAGTATGCATCTTTTGAAATACTAGTTTAGCAGTAAGGATACCTTTTCATTTCAAGATAATAAGTTTGAATAAATAAGGGAGAAAGTCACTATATGTATCTTGCAATTCTCTGATATAACAAAATGAAAGTACTGAACAAAAATATTTTACATTATTTAGTTGTGTCAGACTAATTTGTTAGAATCACAATATAAAATCCTTAATAAACTCACTGCCATTGAGTTTATAGTGACCCTATAAGGGTAGAACTGCCCCTGTGGGTTTTTGAGACTGTAGTAACTCTTTATGGAATTAGAAAGCCTTATCTTTCTCCCTCAGCGCAGCTGGTGGTTCTGAACTGTTGATCTTGCAGTTAACAGCCCAACAAGTAACCATTACGCCACCAGGGCTCCTCCGAAACCCTTAATAAATACTTAAAATCAATTAAAAAAATTGTTAATGAAGTTACTTATTAAACCTACCTATTTGTTCTCCTAAGACCAGGCACTGTTTTGGTACTGGAGCTCCAAATACCATTCCTCGAAGTTTATCCATTGGAGGAGCTTTATTCTGTAGACCTCCAAACTTTCCATTACTTCGAATTCGATCTCCATCTCTGGTCAGCAGTGTAGGACAATGTGCGATTTTAACAACCTATTGTAAGTACATGGTATTAGTGGGTGAGACTACAAAACTTAGTTCAACTATTCTAAGAAAAAGAAAGTCACTTGAGCTTTCTGAGAGTCGAAATGACATGATTATGCTAGTTATTTCCATAAAGTTAATAAGCCAGTGATGTGTATGATGAACTAGGGGGAAAAAAGAGAGCATGAGATCAGTTATACTACCTTTGAAGTGTTTCATTATGTCCACGTGCCACATTTATTTAAGTTGTTGAGACATTTAAATTTCTTTTCCTCATTGAAACTATTTTAGTGTAAACCAGTCACAATCACAAGTATTATTTATGATGAATTTGAACTACTAGGTTATACAAAGTGTTAATCTTTTAAATACTTTATTCTCACATTTTCTTTAGAAAGATTGTTTAGAGCAAATGAGCACTCCCACTCTTTAACTGCCAATGAATCGATTCCAACTCATACAGGGTTTCCAAGACTAAACTAAAATAGTGACAACGCAAATGGGATGAGCAACATGGCAGCCTGACTGAAGTAAAGAAAGAAGGGCAAATAAAGAGTTCTTAGCTGCTGGATTTATAGCAGCATGGTTTCATGTTGGGTGGAAGTTTTCTAGATGACCAAAGGAGAGTGAAATGAAAATATAAGTTTTAAGAAAAGTATACTTGTGACCTCCTCCCTGGGAGACAGACAACAGAAAAGTGGGTGAAGGGAGACGTTGGACAGGGAAAGCTATGACAAAATAATAATTTATAAATTATCAAGGGTTCACGAGGGAGAGGGGAGCAGGGAGGGCGTGGAAAAATGAGGACCTAATGCTGGGGGCTTAAGTGGAGAGGAAATGTTTCGAGAATGATGAGGGCAATGAATGTACAAATGCGCTTTACACAATTGATGTATGTATGGATTATGATAAGAATTGAATGAGCTCCTAATAAAATGATTTTTTTAAAAAGAAACAAAACACAATAATAATATAAAGATAAAAATGAACAGTAATAAAGGGGGAAAAAAAAGAAAATTATACTGATGAAAAGTAGAGCTAGGCTTCGGAAGGCAATACTATGATTTGAGCTGCAGAAATAAAAAGCACCTGTAAGCTGGGAAAGTGGAATGGTACCAGTATAACTGAAATCACAGAAGGAGATGTTAAGAATCAAGAGACAGATTTTTTAGAGAATGAAAGAACATTGGATTTAATATTTCATGATCTTTTAATTAAGCTCTTTCAAAATATATACAAGAAACACATACCAAAAAAAAAAAAAAGGCCCAGCTTCCTTGGTAACCAGCAATGGAATTCCAATGACATATTGCCATTACTCCAAATGTCAAATACAAAGAAAGGAAAGCAAAACCAGCAGTCAACCCACACTCACCTCATGTTGGGAAGCTATAGAGAAACGACACTTATTATCATTTTAGGAGCCCTGGTGGTACTGTGGGTTTGGCTGCTAAGTTTACCGTCTGTGGTTTAAGCCCATCGGCTGCTCAGATGGCGAAAGAAGCGATTTACAGAAACCTTTTTCAGGCTCACCATGAGTTGGGATTGACTCTATGGTAGGTGCTTTGGTTTGGTTTGGTGGCACTGTGGGTTAGGTTGTTAACTTAAAGTCAGCAGGTTCATACACACCACCCACTTTGAGAAAGAAAGATCAAGCTCTGCCTCCTCTTAGCAATTCATCCCCCCAAATAATTGTAGATGCGACTGGGATACACTAAAAGTTTCAATGAGGGAAAAAACAAAACAACATTTCAAAGAGGAAAAGAAGCTCAAATGTCCCAACAACTTACATAAATACATTATGGTACATTAACATAATAAAAATGCTGACATTAAAATTTTTAAAAAACATTATGACTTAACATGTAAAAGTATCATATATATATATATCTTTATATGTGTCTAGAGCAGGGGTCCTCAAACTACAGCCCAAGGGCCACATGCGGCCTGCCGAGGACATTTATCCGGCCCGCTGGGTGTTTTTGCCCTGTTTGTTTTTTTACTTCAAAATAAAATATGTGCAGTGTGCATAGGAATTTATTCATAGTTTTTTTTTTAAACTATAGTCTGGCCCTCCAACGGGTCTGAGGGACAGTGAGCTGGCCCCCTGTTTAAAAAGTTTGAGGACCCCTGGTCTAGAGAGTATATACAAAAAGGGGCTTCAAAATATTCATAAGATAATTTCATTATGTTTCAATTCTATTTATCGACAAACTTTTAAAAGCCCTCTCATAATTATTATATAAAGTTGCTGTATTACATAAATAATCTCTGATGGGATAAAGAGGGAGTAAAATTTCATTTTCTAAAAATGGCAATGCATAGTAGGGCCTTTAATAGAAGATTCATGACTAGTGTTCGTTCATTAAATCCAAAGAGAAGATATTTTTCTACCCAAACTAATACTTAAAAAAAAAAAACACACAACAAAAAATACACCTTTAATTCCTTAGTTTTGGTTTAGATCTATTTTTTCCCCTAAAACTGAACATAAAATACAAACTAAGTTGATATACTATGTATTTATCAAGATTGAACCAATTTTTTTAAGGACTTAATTTTACTGTTAATTAAACAACATAAATTCACAGCATTGTCTATACTCTTAACAAGATAATACAAGGAGAGAGTTACAAATTGCTGGTAGATAGGCTTCCTTTTAAGAACAATTCTGAAAATATTAATTTCATAGACAGTATCCTTCAATCTTGTGATTTTAATTTATTTGATTTCATAAATTCAGTGAGTAAACCACACAGCTAAAGCTCTGGCCAGTGCTTTATTCAAAACTGCTGTAGGAATTAGCAAGGGAAAGAATCAACCAGGGCGGAGGCAGTAGAGATTTCATGAGGAATTTGGAAAGAGAAAAAACTGAGATGACTCCATGTAGAAATGCTAACAAACGATGTCCTAAGTCTTTTCTCAGAAGAGCTTTACAAGATTTAATTTGTGGGGTTACATGACATAACTCAAGCACTTGGAAGCAAGAAAACCATTATGTGCTGCATCATTTGAGAGGAATAGATATATGATCTTTAACATTTCTTTGAGAATAGAAACAGAAGAGCAAAAACAGTAGTTCTACTTTAACGAAACATTAATACTCTACAACTTTGTCTTTAGCTCATCCATGAGACACCCCCACCCCCACCAGTGCCATTGAGTCATTTCTGACTCAGAGCAACTCTTTAAGACAGAGTAGAACTGCCCCTGTGGGTTTTCAATTCTTTATGTGGGTAAAAAGTTCACCTATATCCTGTGGAGTGGTTAGCAGTTTTGAACCTGCTGACCTTGGGGTACCAGCCCAATGCATAACCCATTGTGCCACCAAGGCTCCATGGCTGAAGTGAAATCATCTGGGCATTTTATCAAGCACACTTACACATAGTTGAAATGACTAGTTTGACATTTCTTGTGAATACTTTTATTCTAATCACTTCTTTGATATATATTCGATCACTGCAACTATTGACTATCTTATTTTAAAGTCTCAAGTCATTTTATTCAGCCAATACTTATGATTATCCACATATTTATTTTCTATGTTCTGCACTGCTTGCTTAACTCTTCCATTTATGGCCCTTGCAAGATATGACAAAATAATAATTTATAAATTATCAAGGGTTCATGAGGGGAGTGGGGAGTGAGGAGGGAGGGGAAAAAAAGGGGTCCTGATGCCAGGGGTTTAAGTGGAGAGCAAATGTTTTGAGAATGATGAGGGCAATGAATGTACAAATGTGCTTTACACAATTCATGTATGTATGGAGTGTGATGAGCCCATAATAAAACAATTAAAAAAATATGCTTGTGTTGACATTCTAAGGTGCAGATCTCTTAACTGACATACACAGGGTCACCATGAGTTGGAATTGATTGGAAAATGTGAGTAGATGGGAGCAAATTTCATTCCACAAGACAGGTTCCCATACAGATTCCGCCAGCAGTGTGTGGTACCACGTTTCCCTTGCGGTAGACCGAATAGAATCCTACCTTGCTATCTGTTTATACTGAAAAGTTAATTCTATTATTTTCTGGCTTTTGCAATTGCTAGGAAGTTAGTGAGCCCTGGTGGAGTACTGGTTACCTGTTGGGCTGCTCTCTGCAAGGTCACCAGTTCAAAACCATCAGCTGCTCCTTGGGAGAAAGGCAGCACTTTCAAAAAGCTACAGCCTTGGAAACTCACAGGGGCAGTTCTATCCTGTCTTATAGGGTTGCTATGAGACAGCACCGATTTAATAAGAACGAGAGAGAGTAAGTCAGTTAGTTGTATCATTTTTTTTCCTCTCGAATTAGTTGTATCTTGAACTGAAATTTCCTTAATGAATTTTCAATCTTTTATGATCTACACACTTTCGTGGGTGTTCTGCAATTTCACTGAGGTGTGTTCATGAAAATTTTATTTATTCTGCTCGGAAATAGTTGAACTTCTTGAATATATGGATTATTGCCTTTCATCAGTTCAAAAATATTTTCCGTCATTAGATCTTCAAATATTCCCTCTGATCTTTCTTGTTCCTCTTGGCACTCTGATTAGGCTTTTATTAGATTCTCTCATGTCAAACCTCCAGATCATACCTCTAGGTCTTCCAACCTCTCTCTTTGGCTTCAATCTGGGCATTTTTCTTACAAATCTTCCAATTTACTAATTCTCCCTTATGCTATTAAACTTACCCAGTGAGTCTTTAATATTACATATTTCCATTTCTAAAATCTTTTACTTCATTGTTTTTCATTTTGTTCTTTTCTGTTGTAACATTTCTAGTTCTTGAATCATATTAAAGATTTGCTCTCATTATTAATACAGAAATTATTATTGAGAGCAAATATTTTTAAACTGAAAGACTATTTTTTAGTTAGCAGTCAAGGCTAAATTCAGTAAGAAACATTTAAGCTTCTTAATCAGCTCCCCAAAATTGCTTTCACTGGTTCTAGTTGTGCTATGAGTTAGTAGAGTGGCTTGGGACAAATGTATTATTATTTTATGCTTAGTTTTTGTTCTTTTGTTATTAACCCAACCCCCTATACATAGCCTTCTTATCTGGAAAGTGAGAGTGGATCATTTCTAAGGTCCCTATGATTGTAGAATATACTCTAGATGCATAATGTGCACTTTAAACAGACTTATCTTCAAATAGAAACATAAAACATAAACAAGTATTTTTCCTCATTCTAAATAATCTAGAAACTTGCAATGTTTTCCATATATGCTTTGTACATTATCATTTCCAGCTTTCTTAACACTATAACTATTCCATCTAATATTTCTTGTGTATCAGAGAATTCAAGACCACGGCGACTCAGATTCAAAGAGATTTTTCTCTTATTGAGATTTTGCCATACTCTAAGCTCTTTCCAAAGTGATTTGGACATGTATTATTTCATTCAATATTTATAACAACCATGTGAGGTTAGTTACACCTCATAATTCTAACAAACAGGCTCAAGAAATGATTTGCTTGATAAGCATATAGTTAGTAAATGCTATTGGGGATATATGAACATAAGACTTTTGATTCTAATGTCTCTATGCTATATGGCATCTATGAAAAAATTGGGTGTTAAAAGCTGCCTTATATAATTGCCCATTCTTCTTTTAATTCCACTTTTCCAGAAACTTCGTGAAACTCTCTTATATTTACTTAAAATTTTACTTTTGGTAAATAATGGCTTATAAATACTCGATACTTAACATAGGCAATTTTAAGACAAGAATGCTCTATCTATAATTTATCAATAACTCAAAAAAGACATCTTAGGGCAACACCATGAAAACTTCATGTAAGTTAAAAAAGTCTTCACTCAAATGGAAACCAATTCTTGGGCTTTTTGCCTAATGCAAAATAAGTAGATATCTCACAAGCTCCTTGGGCTAGATTCTGACTTAGTTTTTTAAAGAAAATTTAAATTTCAGAGACTTATTTTTCGACTTAAATCTTACAGTAGATACCTGAAAGTAAAAATTCCTAAGGATTTCCTTTTCTTTTTCTAAATACAAAAGTAACATTAAATAGCAATACCAACAATAATTAAAAAAACAAAATTGTTGCCATCAAGTCAATTCCGACTCATCGCACCCCTAAGAGCAGGGTAGCACTATTTTCCTAGTTTCCAAGGCTGTAAGGAAGCAGACTGCCTCACTTTCCACCGAGTGGCTGATGGGTTTGGTTGGTTAATAGTAGCCAAGCACTTAACCCTGTATGAAAGAACCTAAGTTTAATATTTTAAGTGGATCATTTTGTAACTTTTTAATGAAACAATGAACAAGGGGGCTTCAAAGAGTTTGTAGAAAAATTTTATTATCTTTTAATTCTATTTTCCCATTACCTTTTGAAGCCTCCTTATATTTTATACTTATTTTTTAATTAGAACATATAAAGTCTATAACATTCTTTTAGCAACATTCTCTATTATATAAATTACTATAACAGAGTTGCCCAATCCTAATTGATGGACATTTAGATTCTTTCCTGATGGCACAGTGGTTATTGGTCAACAGTGTTAAAGACTCAGCTGCTCAACAGGAGAAAGAAGATGTTTTCTACTCCTGTAAAGAGTTACAGTCTCGAAACCCAGTGGCAGGAAGTCTGGCTTGGAACATTTATAGGAACATACAATAAATTATCTTAATCCTTTGTGAAAAAAAACCAAACCAAATTAGTTATAATTATAAAACTAATTATAGTTTTCAAAAATAAGTAAGTTAAAGGGAGATTACTCTAGGACTTGCTCGGTTAGCCAATAAACCATTTGTCACTTCTGACCTCCTACATTGACAAAATGGTCTCAAATAAAAATCCAATGTGGTACCACAAAAAGGTGGTTTCTGGTCACATCAATTCAAGTTGTCCTTTGGTTAAGACCTCAGGAAGATTTAAGGTATTGCCTTCTAGACATTTTTCTTTTCCTTAAAAAAAAAAGAAGTCATTTTATTGGGGGCTCTTATCAAAATCCATGCATACACCCATTGTTCTACACCTTTATCAACAGACTAAAAAAAGCTACAATCTTTAGTAGTGTTAAACCTAGTAGAAAGGAACAATAACCCAGCAGATAGTTCTAGCTCAGTTTCTTAGCCAGTACCAGTTGAATTTCTGGATGGCAATTAGCACCGACTGCTAGCAGTGTGATGGAGGCATTCTGGAGCTTACACTACTCAGTCTAATTGTTCATCACCATTTGGAGAAATCCACAGAGTTGTTAGAAATAATTAATTACTGTTTAAACCCACTAATCTTTATAGAGTGTTTCTATGTAGCAATTCATAATTGAAGCATTTGTATTATTTATACTGCCAAACTGTTCTTCATTGTGCTGTTAATTTAAACTTCCACTGACATTATCTGAGTACTCACCACACCTGAAATGCTCATTAGTAACAGGTTTTAAGTTTTAGATGATTTTAGTACAAAAATACTTCTCATTTAAATTATCTCCCACTCATTCATCAACTTTGTTCTTATTAATTTGTTAGATAAGTATGGTCAAATGTAATGATTTCTTTCTTTTTTATGATTTCTATATAAGGACTCTATATACTTAATTGAAACCCTGATGGCATAGTGGTTATGCACTGGACTGCGATCCGCAAGGTCAGCAGTTCAAAATCCCAGCCGCTTTTTGGGAGAAAGGGCTTTCTACTCTCATAAAAAAATTAGTCTCAGAAACTCACAGGGTAGTTCTACTACCCCACAGGGTCAGTATGAGCCAGCACTGACACAATGGCAATGCGTTTATACACTAAATTAGAAGAATACACTTTAAAATTGAACCAACAAGATGAAAAAGAATTCATATACACACCTCTTTTCTATAATGATTGGCAGCATCCAAGTTATCCAAAATAATGGTGTCTCCTAACAGCATACCAAAGACTAAAAAATTTAATAAATGAAAATTTTAAATAGATTTTTCCAGTGGTATTATAACATTGTAAATTTTTCTTAAAGAGTCCTAACATCGTTAAAATTTTATCCAACATTTTCTTCTAGTAGGAAAAAGATAATAAACACAATTAAATATTAATAAGTCCATCACTTATAACATCACGCTTGGTTAAGTAGAAATAAAAAAGGAAGTTCATCAAAGGAAGTTCCATCAAGGAGATGGATTGACATAATGGCTGCAATCTTTTAGTCAATGGGCTCAAACCTAATGACTGTGACGATGGCTCAGGACCAAGCAATGCTTTGCTCTGCTGTGCATAGTCACTATGAGTCACTTAACATCACTTATAAACTGATAATTAGTAACTTATAGATAGATCTGGATCACAAGCATAACATCTATACACTATTTGATCCTTTACCTGTTTCACAATGTTCTACATTATCTGGAAATGTTAACAAGTCTCGGGCAAAAATTGGATCTCCAGTGGGTTTAAAATATAATTTTCCATTTCGTAAATGAGGTAGAGGCCTGAATGGAAAGATTTAAAGGTATTAAATAAAACGTAATTTTTAACTTAAAAATATAATATGAAAAACATACAACTATACTGTGTAACATTTTGATCACACAATTCCACACCCAATAAAGGTGACACTCAATTATTCTCTCAGAAATGAAAATATTTAGCAATGAAAATATCTGCTTGGTTTTTATTGGTACTACTACCTCAATTACTTTATACAATCAATACAACAACAGAGTAAACGAAGTGTAGTTTTGTCTAGAGCAATACTGTAATTAAACCATATGGAGCATGGAGCTGTAAGGAGTTAAGAAAGCCCTAGTCTGAGTCAGATGAGGACGGGACCTTGGCTTCCTCTTGTCTTGCCCACTTAACAGTTGATTGGGCAGCTGAGTCTCAGATTTAACAATGGAATTCAAGGGACATGGCTTGACGAGGGTGTCAGGGTTTTTCCCTTCCACCAAGTGTAGCTATTCCTAAATGCTGACAGTAGGAATGCTGGGAGACTGTAGGAACTACTGAATTAAATCCCAGTGAGGAAAAGCACGCCCAGAAGGAGGAGGATAAATACACCAGAGCAAACTTTAGCTTTAAGAGCTACAGACATACCTTTCCTAAATCAAGGATTATTAATTACCTGGTCTTCAAGGATAATGAAGTTAAAAAGGTTTTACTGGAGAGAAAGTGGTTCTCAACCCAAAACTCTTACCCTTAGCAACACAGTAACTATGACCTATTTTCCCATATTTATATTTCCTACATTTGAAATGGGTAGAACCATTAGCTAGCAGGTGAGTAGGAAATTTAGGAATCAGATTTGAATTCAAACTGCAACTCTTTTTACACTTTCATTAGATTACAAGATTTTATAATATGCTAATTTACTGATATAGTATGTGCTTTACTATTAGTTTCCATTATCCTTCTAGTTGCCACTCCCATGTAATGGACTTCTTGCACAGCTATGTTTAGAAACCTTAGACATGTATTTAAATCCCTGCTTCAAACAAAAGCACACTACCCTAAAGTTATTTTGAACTCTATGCCTATTATTCTCACATCAGTAGCCTTTTAAGATTCTTTATAATTCAAGGACTCCTAACTAGTGGTCCATGACCTCCCTTAAAATTTACATTAAAAATAATAGTATATATTTGTGGGTTAAAAACATTTTTTGTATTGTTTTTTCCCCCAAGGTGTTTTCCAAAGTGGTTTTTAAAAAAAAAAATCATTTTATTGGGGACTCATACAACTCATCACAATCCATACATACTTCAATTGTATAAAGCACATTTGTACATTCATTACCCTCATCATTCTCAAAACATTTGCTCTCCATGTAAGCCCCTGGCACCAGCTCATTTTCCCCCCTCCTTCCCCACTTTTCCCTCCCTCATGAACCCTTGATAATCTATAAATTATTATTTTGTCATATCTTACACTGTCCAATGTCTCCCTTCACCCACTTTCCTGTTGTCCACCCCCCAGGGAGGACATTATATGTAGATAGTTGGTTCCTCTTTTCTACCCCATCCTCCCGGTATCACCACTCACACCACTGGTCCTGAAGGGATCATCCATCCTGGATTCCGTGTTTCCAGTTCCTATCTGTACCAGTGTACACCCTCTGGTCTAGTCAGATTTGTAAGGTAGAATTGGGATCATGATAGTGGGGGTAAAGGGAAGGGAGAGGAAGCATTTAGGAACTAGAGGAAAGTTATATGTTTCATCATTACTACACTGTACCCTGGCTGGCTCGTCTCCTCCCGGTGACCCTTCCGTAAGTTGTTACTGTGTTTTAAGTGCAAGTTTGCACTGCAAATTAGGTCCCTATTTAGCAATTTCTATATAAATTGTTCTGTAACATTGGGTATAATTTTCACAATGTGTCAGCATTCTCAATACTTCCATGGTTTGCTCTCTTTCTATTGATCTGACTTTTCTGATCCTCATTGCCTTATCTTTGGTTCTGTTTGCATTGTTTAAGGGAGTACATATCACTAGTAGGTGATGTTGTTTATTTTATAAGTCAATCTTATTATTTGGCTGACAGGTGATCTCTGAGAGTGACTTTAGCTGCAAGTTCAAACGGAATCTTCGGGTGATAAGTCTCAGGGATTGCTCTAGTCTCTATTGGGCCAGTAACTTTGGCAATTTTTAAGAATTTGATTTTGCTCCACAGTTTTCCTCCATTCCATCCAGGGCTTCTATTGTACTATCTTTTGGTCTCAACCTCTAAAACTATGCTATTTGTGAGTTCTTATTTTATTTTATTTTCCCACAGGGGATAGCATGAACGCAGTTTTTAAAGAGAAAATTTATATTTATTAGATTCTTAAAGGGATCCTAAAGCTCCACCACCCCATCCCACTCCCGCTTCCATAAAACCAATCTCTATGTCTATCACTAAGAGGCCTGGTGGCATAATGTGCTACATGCTGGGTTGCTAACTGTGAGGTCGGCAGTTAGAAACCACCAGAGAAAGGTGAGGCTTTCTGCTCTCATAAAGATTTACCGCCTTAGAAAACCACAGCGACGGTTCTACTCTGTCCTAGGGGGTCACTGTGAGTGAGAGCGGACTTGATGGCAGCGAGTCTGGAGTTTTAGGTGTACCACCACTATCCAAATCCAAGCTTTCTCTAGTTCCAACTTGCTAATGTGCAAAGCCTCTTCACATGTTGCTGCCTCCTTTCCCTTTCCCTTCAAATCTACAGTTGCCTGAATCTTTCTGACACACAGCATAAAGCCTTTAGTAATCCATATACAAGCTGATTCATAAGTAAAACTGTATATTCATATATAGTATGTGTTCTGTATGATATTCAAAGATCGTACAGACTGTCAATTTATTTTTCATCCTTTAAAAAATAATTTTCTTAGAAATTTCTTTTGTGTCCCTGAAAAACGAAACAGCCCCTCTTCCCCACAGACACTTTATCCCTCTATGCTTCTTCTCGCGGTGCTTTACCTGAGACAGTCTAGTTAAAATTGATCATTGCTCCCCCTCAGCGTTTTGAAAGCATACTTTCACTATCTCTTATGAGACGGAACACATTTTATTTTGTTTATATTATAGTTATTTTTGTTCAAGTAGTATTATCTTTTCATTTACTAAGGTTTCCTTAGTATGAAATCAGCAATTACCTTGCATTCCTCACAACTCTTAGCAATGGGTCCTACAAGGATCCAATTCACGTGTATGCACTAAATGTATTTTTCTATGTCCATTACCGTTAGAATACAATTTAATAATTCCAGTACTATTAGAACTATATGCTAGCAAAGTCCAAATACTTACGTTGGGCTTGTGTATGTATTTTTATATATTTCATATACAAAAAAATTTAATTTGCAAACTAAACATAGCAGCATATATGAGCAAGTATACTGTAATATTAACATTAATGAAGGCTACTCTGAAGACAATGAACACAAAAATAATTAGGTAATTTGAGTCACTTCTCAAGATTGCTTATATAGACTTTAGAGGTTATGTAGGAGGGAAGGGCTAGAGAGGGAAGATAAAACAAAAGGCTAGAGGGTTGAAAGGTATTAAATTGGGAGAATCAAAGGAGCGGGGTAGATATACTAGTGAGGGGTTCTTAGGTAGTCCAAATGGCTGATAACCCTCCCTACCTAATTCACAGTAAGAAATTGTTTGTTTTTAAAGTTTTCTATATTTTTTAAAAATCAGGGCTTGATAAAAAGTAGAAAATATCACTCAGAAAAATCATTACTTGAATGTTTTCTAACCTTTTCCAATCGGGAAGAGTCTTCTTATAAATAGAATCAAGGGGCAACACCTGCTGACGACCTTGGGTATCATCATAGATGCGACGTGCAGCATCAGTAGTCAGGGTGACCACACAGTCCATGTCACTTGCCAGATGCCAAGAAATAACCATCGCAGCTCTATCATCTTCAATTTGTGCAAGGTGTGCTATCTATATAACCCATTAAAAACATAAAGTGAAAAAGTAACAAGTGGATATAGTTTAAAAGCCCAAACCTGAACAGCTAAATACACTTTTTTAAAGCATTCAGATAAAATTTGGAAAAATGTCATTGATTATATTCTAGTAAATTTTCAAATAAGCAAAGAAAAATATTTGGAATTTTATCAGCTAATGAAAGATACACATTTCTTAAATCTTGATTTTCAAATTTGGGTTCTGAATTGATAAAAGCTCATAAAATACATTAAGCCATACACACGTAAAATAATTGATGATGCACAGGGAATCCACGACAGATGATCCCTTCAGGACCAGTGGTAAGAGTGGCGATACCAGGGGGTGGGAAGGTGGGAGTGGGTGGGTGGTTGAGGGAGGGTGGGGAAGAAAGGGGGAACTGATTATAAGGATCTACATATAATCTCCTCCCTGGGGGATGGACAACAGGGTAGTGGGTGAAGGGAGACATCGGACAGGGTAAGATATGACAAAATAATAATAATTTATAAACCATCAAGGGTTCATGAGGGAGAGGGGAGCAGGGAGGGATGGGAAAAATGAGGAGCTGATACCAAGGGCTCAAGTAGAAAGCAAATGTTTTGAGAATGAAGAGGGCAACAGATGTACAAATGTGCTCGACATACAATGAATGTATGTATGGATTGTGATAAGAGTTGTATGAGCCCCCAGTAAAATGATTAAAAAAATATACAATGATGTTTTAAAATTTAGTTGAAATAAATATAGTTCTAAAGCATTCTGAGTAGATATCTGAGCTAGATGCTATATTGTTTCTTTCAAAAACAAATGTCAGTATCACAAACAGCGCAGATTTTTCTGTTAAAAGGGTTGTTTTCAAGCTTATGATTAACTCATCATTCTGATAGTTAGAAATAACTGCCTTCAGTTGTAAGCTTTCCTAGTACAACTTCAACCAAGGTTGGAATACAATTTCAAAGCCTCATTCAATGGTCATGTCTATGCTTATTCATACCTGATCTAGTAGCAAACTGTACCCCACCCACACCCCCAATAATAATTTCATGTGGCATTATAGAAACTACAGCATAATGTTGACAACTGCACTCTAATTCTCTAACAATTAGTGGAAGAAAGGCAAGAAAATAGTCATGCAAACACATAAATAAAAGTGAAAATGTTTTCACTGATATTAAGGATTAGTAGAGGTAAAGCAAATAAAGTAACCTTATTTTATATGTAACCATAAGGTACCATTTTGTAGTTGCTTACAAGCACCTATAACTAGAGTAATTATTTCTAAGTGAAGACAGACCTGGATGTTCTCATTAGACTCTTTAACATTACATCTACTCTATGAATTTTCAGGTAATACAAGTACACGATACTATTTGTTTTCTTTCAAAAATCTACTGCTGCAGAGGATGTACACTGCTACAGATGGGAACTGGAAATACGGGGAACCCAGGGCGGATGATCCCTTCAGGACCAGTGGTGTGAGTGGTGATACTGGGAGGGTAGAGGGAACCGATTACAAGGAACTATATGTGACCTCCTCCCTGGGGGATGGACAGCAGAAAAGTGGGTGAAGGGAAACGTCGGACAGGGCAAGATATGACAAAATAATAATTTACAAATGATCAAATGCTCATGAGGGAGGGGGAGCGGAGAGGGAGGGGAAAAATGAGGACCTAATGCCGGGGGCTTAAGTGGAGAGCAAATGTTTGAGAATGATGAGGGGAGTGAATGTACAAATGTGCTTTACACAATTGATGTATGTATGGATTATGATAGGAGTTGTATGAGCCCCTAATAAAATGATTAAAAAAAAATCTAATGCTGAAACATGGGCTACACATTGCATATTAAATACAATCTTTTGCTTCTTTGATTCTATTTTCAGCTTTTCTGAGTCTATTCTAGTTATTTTCATAATGTTGCTAATTTTGTCTCATTTGGGGATGGGAAATGAGAAAAGGCTGGGATTTCAAGATATTTGGATCGAGGAGGAACTAACTAAAGCAATCAAGTGAACTGTAGTATTCATGGTGCTAAAAGTAAACATAGTGTATGGTTTTGGGGAAAATAGCCCTCATCTTTCACTAAGTGCCAGAATTATCTTAAGATAAACGTCACAAAGAAGTGTTTTAAAGAAAGACAGGAAAAAAATAAAGAACAACTTGGAGGAAGTAGAAAAGCTTTCTTTCATGGGTTAAGGAAGGCTTACATTTCTAAAGGAGCTGACGAACAATAATATGAGATTTCAAAGATTTTCAGGTTGTTATTCCCGCTAACATTTATTACATATCCTGGCAAGAATCTTATGAACAAGAAGTTAAACTACTGAAATGTGGTGGTAGTATTTTGTATCTTAAAACCAGAATAGAAATATCTACATGTTTTGAATCCGAAGTCTTTCTCTTTCTAGAAATTAGTTTTGAGGTATACTACTTTCAAAACATATATACACTTCTAATTTATGACTTTACATTCTTAATTTTACCATTTGCATACTTGTTTGTATAATAATGCGACACAATTTTGGACACAAATACTTGTACAGTTTGAGAGTAACTACAACCTCTTATTTTGTATAGGTCCCTGCACAAAATTAAAGAGCAGAATATACAGAAACTAAAGTGAACTTCCGAGTCCAAGAGACCTTCATTTACAACTAAGCTCTATGTTTTATTGACCATACTGTAAAAGCTGTTTACACTTTTGAATGTTTCCCCCATCTATGAAATAGAAACTCTAAACTACTGATGTGTGCTTATACGAGTAGCAGCCTGCACAGGCACAGCTCATTTGACTGTTCTATGCAGATATTGACCACAGATGGAAGGTTGGTGGTACCTGTTCACGGAGGGTTATTTCCCGAATTTCAGGTGCTCACTTTTTGTCTCTGTCACATTTTGGAAACTTCTTACAATAGTTCAAAGTTTTTCATATTGCTACTGACTGCACACTTGAAAGACTACGGTGAAATGTAAACATAACTTTTATATGCGCTGGAGGGAAAGAAAAACAAAGCCCCAAATTCCAGCAAACCAACTAAAGTGAAATCATCCCCACTAGTAATTACACTGACTGTAAAGTGGATTAAATGCACTAGTCAAGAGCGAGAAAGGAGGGATAAGAAATCATGACCCATCAACATGCTGCTTTAAGGGACACACCTTAGACACAAAGACCAAAAAAAGAAAAAAAGTTGTTATACACTGGGAAACCAAAAATTTCACAGCACTTACTTATTGTGGTGACCTGGAACTAAGCCCATAATATTTGAAGTAGCCCTGTACTCACACAGTAAAGCAGTGATTAAGCAGACTGCAGTCAACAAGCTAGGTATGCTTCGGGCTCTGCTGCTTGTTACCTTGTAACTTTGAACAATTTATTTAATATCTATGAACTTTACTTTCAATTTATTCAACTTTAAAAGTTGAGAAGCACATTGAGTGAAAAGATTAACATATTAAACACATGTACATAAACTACAAATCTTAAAAACTGAAGGTGCTAGAAACAAGCAAATGGTAAAAATGTTCATAGAACTAAAACTTGGGTAATAAATTTGCTGATTGTGACAAATAAGTATTCTGAACCAGAAAAACATAAAATCAAATAGTTATCATTACGTAATGGCAGGATAAAAATTCACCTCATTGATTTTATTATAGTTAAGACAAAAGGCAAACTCAAAGAGCGAAAGGCCAAAGATAATAAAGAACAACCCTCCTTCCCTTGACAGAAATACGTATCAAGTTTGTGGTTTATTTATTTACTTATTTATTTTCATTCTGGAGTATCCCAGAATTCCCTACAATGTTATACTTAGAACTCAGAAAAACTCTTAATCTTTGCCTTCTGTTGTCTTGTCAAGGTTGAGATACCTGAAAGGGTGCTGCTGATTTACAAAGCCAAACAACAGGTGAGCATCTCTTAAGTGGACACCAAGAAGGGAATTAACTCCACTTGTGCCAGAGCCCTCAAAGGTAATAAGAATTATGGAATTTTCAGGATAAGTCTGGTCAAATTGATAATTCATTATAATGCCATTTTTAAGAATGTAGGATTTACAGAAACAAAAGAAAACAATAAAATATACTGCTTCTTAAAAGGTGTATGAACAAACCTTTCCCAAAACATCTGTACTGCCTTTGGTATAGTTTGGAAGAGTACATGATCTTCTAGGTTTTTTCGTTAGCTCCTCCTGTTCTGTTAACTTGTTTTTCAAAAGTGCATCAATATGTGTCATCTGCAATATATAAAGAAAAATTAACTATAAGGCCCGTTACTCTTTTGGCAAGCAGCCCATAATGGTAGTTGATGAAAATCATTAATTTGGAAATGTCAAAAATATAAAGTTAATAATAACTATAATTATTTTTTTTAATCGGCAGTTCAAACCCATATGAAATCACTCTGCGGGAGAAAGATGAGGCTGTGCTACTCTTGTAAACATTCATAGTTCATGAAATTCTAAGAATTTACTTGTTGGCAATGGTTTCATTGTTTGGTTTTATTAAAAGCTGTTAAGAGTAATATAAAGCTTCCAGCTCACTAATTTTTTATCTTGGTTAAGAAATACTACCTGTACTTTTTGGGAAAGTATTCTATGTATAAAAGAATAATATTTTTTAAAAAGCTAAAGAAAATCTACATTATTTTCTGTTTCATTCTCTTAATTCTCTTTGCCATCATATATACCGGCTATTATCTTAGCAGCCTCTTAAATGAAGTACTCAAGTTGAAGTGTTATTAACTGCATTTATCAATGCCATTACATTAAAAATATGAACTACAGTATTTTGAAAAAAGCAATCTTGTTTGCCCTCTGTCTAGTAAGTGACTGGACTTTGTATCCCCAACCAACAATGCTCATAATTCCTAATAAAACAGGAATTTTAATAATTTTGCTAATATTTAATGAAGAAGAAATTTTTAATGTATCCTTAGAAACTACCTGTTGTGTTGTAGGAATGTCAATATTATGTGTTTTCAGTTCATTTCGCAGCTGAGCCTCTTTTAATTTTGCTTCTTCAACTTGACCTAAAAGACAAAACATGGCAAATATTTTAAATTTTTTTAATGTTTGATATTAAAAAGATGTAGACTTTTAAAAATTAAACTAATATTTTAAAAATAAGGTTTGACTAATTTACAAATTGAGAAGCCAAATATAATGTAGCTAATAGGATATTATAATACTACACTGAAATCTGAGTGACCTTAGATAAATAATTTAATCTAAATCTGTATGGTGATATATACAATTACATTAGATTGTTCTAAAAAACAAATATTTTATAAAAATAAGTTATAGTGTTACTAAATATCTCATTAAACTATTTAGTTCTCATTATCTTCTAAATGTTCTTGGCCCAGGAGAAATATATTTTGAAAGTGAGGACTTTGTTGGGTAAATGAGTTAAATTAAAAATTTCAGCAAATCATTATGTGTATTAACTCAAGAATAAGTTACATACTTCAGTATCAATGGTGCTGCTCTAGATAGCTCTCATAGCAAGACATACTACATCTATTTTAAGTAAAATATATACTCAAAATGAAATTAATTTACATATCAATCATTTAGTGCTATTTTCATTCAGTATTCCAAAGAGCCTATTTCTAATTTTCAGAAAACTTCAAACAAAATATTTATTTAAATTGTTTAAATGTTATCTTTAAAAGCATCAAATGTCAAGTAATATAAAGTCCTGCCTTTGAGAGTCTAATAAATAGCTAGAAAACACTTTCTAAAAATGTTCATGTCCGTCTCAACCTCTGTCTCACCACCCACACAATCTTTTATTGTGTGAATACAAGGTGACTTACATTTCATTTCATCAAGAAGTTGTTTGCTGGCTTCAAATAAACTTCTATACATAAGAATAGACTTAGATATTTGGTCTTTTTCTTTTGTAAGTGCTGCCATTTGCTGTTGCTTCTTAACATCTAAGAAAAAATTTCAGATAACCAACAATTTAAAAACTGTGATTTTCTCAAAGCATCTAACTTGATTAATAAGCACATGTTGGCTGAAAGTAATACAAGGTAATCTAAAGTAACACAACGGATTCACTAATCTATTTGTCTTAATACTTACCATTGTAAAACATAAAGGGTAGGATATATGGTTCTAGTGTTCTTGATAAAGCTGGTAGCCGAGGCTCAAATATAATAAAATATTCAGTGCTATCCTTTCCAGGACTGTTTTCTGCCAGCACCAAGCTCTGTACAAATAAAGAATAAAATTTCATTATGCTCTATTTTACAATTAGTGGTAAATTTTAAAGATAAAAGTCATTTGTCTTTAAGATTTTTCAAACATTCACTACCCATTCAAGATATGAAGTAAAATGTTACCTTTGCTATTGTTTGAATGTCAAACGATCTTATCAATAAACAGCTTGTCCAAAAATTGTATATCATGGAAAATTACAAGAAAAAAATATTCTTTTCCTGGAACCAGAAATACTAATGACCACTTATACCTCTTTTGATTCCTAACCCTTAAATTGAAGTACTGTGAAATAGCTGATGGTGTGTACGTTACAAAACTAATCACAAAGACATGCCCAAAGCCCATTGCTGAGTTTAAGTTACACATGTTGCCATGGAAGTAGACCCACAAAGTCCCTTGGTGACTGAGCAACAGGTCCTAAAAGGCACTAAATATTTGTTTGTAAAGACCTATATTTTTTCTTAACACACAAAAACACTTTTGATATATTTCAACTTAAAAATCATAACATTTAACTAGTGATGTAAATATCAATACTTATATCTCAAATAAATGATGTAAATACTTATATCCCAAATGACTGATATAAAAAAAAATCATTTAGGACACTTATATCCTAAAATTTTATTTGCAGCTCTCCTAGAAACAACAGATCTAACTTTTTCACTTAGATGATAGAAATGTAAAATTAAAAAATTATAAACTGACTAAACCAAACCAAGCTTACTGCGATTCAGGCAATACCAGCTCACAATGACCCACAGGGCAGTGTAGAACGGACTCTCTGGCCTTTCCAAGCTGTAAATCTTTAGGGGAGCAGAAGGGCTCCTCTTTCTCCCCCTCTCTTAATAGCTAATAATTTTTTCCAAAGGAAAAGAATAAAACTTTTGTTTATAGTTTCTAAAACGTATTTTTAATAGTTACATGAATGTAAGCTTATATTATTTGCATTTAAAAAAGGTAGCCTCCAAACTTTAACAACTTGTTTTCAATTCAGTCCATCCATGTTAATAGACAGACAGCAGTTTGAAAATGTATGTATTACACATTAATATCAACTTACTGGGTGAAGAACTTTCAAATTGTTAAAAAAAATTTAAATCATTACTTACAATACATCAAAAATTATCTTTGAATCTTTCTTTGTAAGTGAAATTTCAATGATGGATAATGAGAATATAATGAGCTTATTTCAATAGGTAATATCAAATTTCCTTTCAGAAGTGTGTCACTTTATTCTCTTACATCAGAGTAGAAAAGTGCTCTACTCCCTTGCTGTTAGCCAACACTATCAAGCATGTAGTTTTTTTCTAAAAAGATGGGAGTATAAAGCAGTAAGTCATTACTGAAACTAATATTCCTCTAACTAGTAAGGAGGTTATGCTTATTGGTGATCTATACGCTCTTCTCTTAAATGCATACTCATCTCTTAGTTGCAGGACATATTTCATGAGGTTTGAAAATATGATCAATATTTTAATCCTTTATTATTATATATTGCAATATTTCTTCCCAATCTATTGCCTTTAAGAAACTATATAGAATCATATAAAAGAGCTCCACAATAATACACCGATGAACAATTTTCAACTCATTGTCAAGTTCTTTATTTAAATTTTAAAATGTACATGATATTTAACTGTATTATATATAATTATTTTCCCTTTATGCCTTATTTAAGGAAACCTTTCCCATGCTAAGTGGGAGAAAGATAAGGATTTCTATTCCCATAAAGTGTTACAGTCTTGGAAAGACAGGAATAGCTATACCCTATCATGAGTCAGAAGTGGTAGATGGCAGTGAATTTTTCCTATGCCAAAGTTGTGTAGTTTTTAACAACAAGTTACAAACATTGTTCTGGGCCATTGCTTCTTAAAATTCCCTAATGTTAAGAATCATCTGACAAAATAATAATTTATGAATTATGGAGGGTTCATGAGGGGGAGCAGGGAGGGAGGGAAAATGAGGAACTGATATTAGAGGCTCAACTGGAAAGCAAATGTTTTGAGAATGAAGATGGCAAGAAATGTACAGATGTGCTTGACACAATGGATTGTGATAAGAATTGTATGAGCCCCCATTAAAATGATTAAAAAAAAAGAAGAATCATCTAATTGTCAGAACTCAGATCTCAACAATACAAAGGGCAAGAGACAAGTACAATCGAGGAATTTTAGGTTCATTCAGTGTGACAGTAGGGAGGCTCTAGCTGTTACAGGAAATTTGTATGTAGCATACAGAGAGTGGGGGGAGGGGAGGGTTTATTTTCCTTAGCTAATTTTTGTCAGGGTTTAAGGAAAAAAAGTCACCTTACTCCTCACTATTATAAAAATAAAATAAGTGTGGGCGTAAGTGATAAGAGACAACTGTTCTCTATGTCAAATGATGAGAAGTGGTGGGCCGGGTACAACTAGAAGATGAAGCACCATCTGAGAAGTGCAGTTCTCACACACTGCTGCTCAGAAGAGAAACTTGGCCCTATATTGCTATAGCTTTAAGGTTTTTCCCCAAGAAATGAGAAGCATGGATTTTATGTCAAAACTTGAAAAACAAAATGAAAATCCTGTACTTGATAATTGCTATACTGACACATCTGCAAGTAGATGCAGCCTCGGGCCTTCTATATGCAATCAACATTATAAAAACACTGTGATGTGAACACTGGATGAGACACAAAGGCAAATCCTGACAACAAAGAACAAAAAGAGGGGGCCACTTAAGATTTGTTAAGAAAGAACTATTCAATAATGAATACCAAGAAATTAAAAAGTAAATGTTCATTTCAAATTAATTTGGGGGGGAAAAAAGCCAAAACAAAATTTAGAGCACATTAAAAGCATATGTAAGAGCACTATAAATACAATTCTCCCAATAAAGCTAAATTCTAAACAATAAATTCAGCAGCTTACATACAAAAAAGTATTAATACCTTTAATAAAAGCCTCATGAAGAAAATTATGAACCAAAATCAACAAACTTCCAAAATTCAAAAACACAAAAATGTTCTTTCAATTCAAAGAATTAAAAAAGTGATGTTTGCTGCTTTTGTGATGCTCCGACTCAGAAACCCAATGTACAACAGAAGGAAACACCATCCGTTCAATGGTTGCTTTGTTAAAGTCTATTGTTGTATCTACTGTGCTAATCCATCGCATTTGAGGGTTGTTCTCTTTTCTGCTGATCCTCTACCACCCATGATAACTTTCTCCACAGAAGAATGGTTTTGGGTGGTTAACGTGGTCAAAGTATGTGCTATTCTTCCTTCTAAGGAGCACTCCCGCTATACTTTGAAACAAAATTGTTCATTAAACTGGCAACCCATGGTCTACTCAATACTCTTTGCTGACACTATCATTCTTCTACAGTCTTGTTTGAATATACAAGAATACTGTCTAGCTTTCATATGCCTACAGGGTGAGTGAAAATGCCAAGGCTTGGGTCAGACATACCTTAGTCTTCAAAGTGACACCTTCGTTCATCAGTATTTTAAGAGGTGGTGGGTAGATTTGCTCAATGCAATATGTTAATTAATTCTTAGACTGCTGCTTCCATGGGTATTAAACATTAATCCAAATAAAACAAAATCCTTGACAACCTCAATCTTTCATCTATTTGTCATGATGTTGCTTACTGGTACAGTTTTGAGAATTTTTGTTTTCTCAATATGTAAGTGTGGGTACTTTATATCTTCTTTGTTTTTTAACAAACAAGGTTGTTTTATCACCTCATTACATGTTCTTAATAAATCTCTTCAAATTCTGATAGTGTATTCTTATTCATACATCAGATTATTTACTCAATGTACTCACTAAATAAGTATGGTGAACGGATAGAACCTTAGCATACATCTTCCTTATTTTAAACCACACATTATCTTCTTGTTCTCTTTGAATGACTGCCTCTTGGTCTACGTTCTGCATGAGACACTGAAGTACGCTGGAATTCTCATTCTTTGCAATGTTTCACACAGGTAAACATCTGTGAACATTTGCATTAATTGGTATGACTCTTCTATCCATAGTTTGTGTAACTCCCAACAAATGACTGGGTGGGAACATGCAAATAAGATACAGAGGTTGCTAACTTGGGGAGTGAACAGTTTTGTCATTCTTTTGGGTACATACAGTGAGCCATCTCAGTAGAAAGAATAAAGAATTTCAAAACATTAAAAAAGAAGAGCTATGAGTTGTTTATCTAAGACCTTTGTATGGAATGATCTAGTGCACACACACACCCGCCCCGACCCGTTAGACCTTTAGACTTTCAGTGTGGTCCCCTTGTGCGTAACCCTCAACCAGTTCAGTTGAGGTGACAAGTACTGCCCCCCAAGTCAAAAGTCTACAATTGGGATTGTTTTGGGACTACAAAGCTTCACTCCTATCACTAGTCTGTTGCACTCCCCTCTTGGTTTATCCTCAAGTGGGCGGGTCAGACAGGCCACTCTCCTTGAACTGTATCTTCAGACCCAAAACCCACATGCAAATTAATTGGGACAGTCCCTCTCAGAAAGGCCACATGGAAGGAATGATAAATCCAGGGTACAGTACAGTACTGATGAAGCACTTCACTATCCTCTAGTTCTTTAATATTTCCTCCCCTTACTATTATGGTTTTCATTCATTTTACCTCATTTATCATGTTAGATTTGAGTAGGCTTATTTGTATAATTAATATAATTTGATACATGAAAGCCAAAATAGATAAAACTTCAGAAAGAGTAACACAGGAGTAATGGTTCCCTGAGGGAATGGGAAGTGGGGGAGACAGCTGATAGCACTGATGACTGCACAACCCCACCCAAGGGAGCAAACAACAGACTTGTATGTAAATAGATATATTAGATGGTGTAAGATGAGGCAATAAATAAATATTGCTTCCTGGGGGTGGGTGGGTGAAAGGGGAGTTGTTATCAAGGAGTTCAAGAAGAAAATGTTTTGAAACTGACTGTGGTAGTAATTGTACAATACTTTATATGATTGAACTATGGAA